TTGTTTTTTCAGCCTAATGATGGCTTGCTTCACTGATAGTGACAGCTCTTTGGATCTCATATTGAGAGTTGACATCAACAGATTCCAAATGCAAATAGCACACTTGAAATGAACTCTGGACCTTTTTGTCTGCTCCTTGTAAATGGGATAATGAGGGAATAACACACACCTGGCCATGGAACAGCTGAGCAGCCAATTGTCCCATTACTTTTGGTCCCTTGAAAAGTGGGAGGCACATATACAAACTGTTGTAATTCCTACACCGTTCACCTGATTTGGATGTAAATACCCTCAAATTAAAGCTGAAAGTCTGCATTAAAGCACATCTTGCTCATTTCATTTAAAATCCATTGTGGTGGTGTATAGAGCCAAAAATATTACAATTGTGTCGATGTCCCAATATTTATGGACCTGACTGTATATTCTTCTTTTTCAAAAAAAAGAATTAGAGGTTCCTGATTGGCCAAGCTGAATCCTGGTGAGGATGGAGCTTGAGGCTGGTAATTTGAAATGTGGGCATTTCTTGCAAATGTAATAATGTCACAATAATAAAACAAATTTGCATCTTTCTTATTTTTTCTTATTTTGTATTGACTGTTTCTGCATATTTTGTGGTTGCATCTATTTATCTACGTATATAATGCACTAAAAAAACAATGGTTCAAACCCAGCACGGACTGCCCATTTAACTCAGAAGTCACTATTGGTCATTACATCCATGGAGATCATCAGATATAAAACGGAGAGCCCCAATGCCGCAATATTCCCGGACATGCTAAAGATTTATGCTAAGGTTCCAGGAATAAACTCAAATTATAATTAGCATGTAATTAACTAGTTGCTATGTTTCTGTTTTCCATGTTTTACAGTCTGTCCAATCCATTAAAGACAATTGGTCTACATATCAGATGTGACAATGCAATTAACTTTTCTCCAGCAATTGACCAAAGATAGGTTGGTCATCATATTGAATCATATTGAACAATTAGTGTTCATTTCTTCAAGCTGCTTATACAATTGTATTGTTAAGTGCTCAAAGTAGAATGTTTCAACAAAATTAAACTGCTCCAAAAAGTTGCATTGAATAATGGTGTTGATATAACTTTCTAATTTTTCCTCTTGTTTCAGACAAAGTGCAATTAGGAGTTGACGGATTTGTAGTGTAAAGCTTTGTAAGTTGTAACAGCAGCACATCTGGGGAAAACAGAGAAGCGTCTACATATGCTAAATATATGATAATGGAAATGTGTGTTTAACGTGTCATTTATGTTAAAACAGCTGCTTGTCTGGAAAAAAAAAAGCTTGTTACATATGTCTGATCCAGCATTAAGGAGTCAGAGATGCAGTTTGTAAAATAACCAATCATTTACATAGATTAGAAGATGGGTGGTGATCTCGCATTTAAACAGATGTAGCATCATTTCATGCATTTATCAAAATTGTGTTTTCAAGCCATGCATGCGTTATTTGTGTACAGGCGAGATTAAGCTGAATAACGCATAAATAGCCAGTAACCATGCACCAATTGACAGAAAGCGGAATCATTCATTAATAGAGACAAATAATAAGCAGTTAAAGCGACACTATAGTCACCAAAACAACTACAACCTAATGTAGTTGTTCTGGTGAGCATTATCATTACCTTCAGGCATTTTCATGCAAACACTGCCTTTTCAGAGAAAAGACAGTGTTTACATTTTTCCCTAGGGACACCTCTAGTGGCCACTCCTCAGATGGCCGCTGGAGGTGCTTCCTGGGGCAGTGCTGCACAGTAGGCAGCACTGCCATTCAGCTTATCCACACCATTGATTTAATGCTTCTCTATGAGGAGGTGCTGATTGGCCAAAACAGGGTTTGGTCCTGCCCCCATACCGCCCTCTTGCTGATTTCAGCCAATCCAAGGCTTTCCCTTCCAGAATGCATTGGATTGGCTTGAAATCGGTAATGAATACATAAAGGTTCTGTGTAGAAAGCTATTCTCCAAGTATGGGCTGTGCCCTTTGTAAATTATATCTTTGTGCTATTACTTTTGGATAAATAACCAAATATAGAATACCCTTAGAGATATGATTATTAGCTCATTTAATCGAAATGCTGTCCGTCCTTAATGTGCAGAACTTTTCAAGTAGAGAGGTGGATAATGACCAACCACGCACATCCAGAAATGATCAAACAGGACATCTTCCACCAAGAAACAAACCTTCTAATTACTCAACATTGTTCCCAGTAAGAATCGTTAAACAATCTTTATATTTTACCCACCTTTTCCCCTGGCAGTATATGGCACTGTTATCTTATTGTAAAAGACACAGACAATAGAACCTACATACCTGCTATTGCTTCATGTGCAGTCAGCAGGACTCGCACAATTGGGTTGACTGCACCCTGCGTCTTCTCCTGCTCTTTAGACTGTGAGGTTTTATCTGTTTTCTGAATTCTGGATTTCTTTGGTTGTTTCTCCTTTTCTTTTTCACAATCAGAAAGGATGAATTTTCCCTCAAAATCATTTCCTTAAATAAAAAAATTTAAAAAAAACATGGCACAAGTGAACATAATAGATCTGAAAGGTAGAACAGTCATAGGTAGACACTGTACAAAATCATACAATGACCTAAAGTATTAACCACATTTAAAAACAAAACAAAAAAAAAACCTTATCCTGTACCATGCTCAGACCCAAAGGGATGTTTATCCTACCAATCAGAAGGTATGGACTAGGTATGGGGGAAATCAGGGCAAGAGTGGGGGAGGGGGTATGATAGGGAGTCAATGTACCCAAAATGAGTATATGTCAACTAGGCAACCAAATCTGCCAACTGTAAGCATAAAGGGCAGGCAATGTGTGCAATGTTGGCAAACTGGGGAGAGCAATCATTTTTGGAAACATTCTTTTGATCGTATTTAGTTTTTTCAGTTTTTGACTCAACGTTTATTAAAAAACAATCCTGTCGATGCTTGATTATTTATCTCCAGCGACAGCAGAAATATGGGTATCTTTTTATTTTCATTATTATCAGTGCATGATCCGGTGCGAGGATTTTTGCCACCCTAGGCAAAAAAAAAAATTGCTGCCCCATTCGCTCCACAGTGGTCATGTAGGTTTAATCCCACAAGATAAAACATTGCCTTACCTTGAATGTTTAAACAAGACTCTAGTAGCTGTCAACTGACAGCCACTAGAGACACCTCCGCTACAATGCCAGGTTTAACTATGAGAAGCGTTGGAAGTGCAATGCGCTTGCCAATTATGCGCTTCAGGTCCCCAATGCTCCATTAGTGACACTGAGCGAGGTAAGGAGGCAAGCAGTGCTTGATAAATGTAGTAACCCCCCACCCTTTTTTAAAAATACTTTTTATAGGGGGAGGAACTTGAATCTATGTAGGGACCGAGACACTATAGTATTCGGAATACAGGTTTCGATTCCTAACACTATAGTGTTCCTTTAAAAGTATTTATTTTTTTTAAATTAAAATTATCCTTTTTGCCCAAATGCAATCACTGATAGATGCACACACACACACACACACACACACACACACAATTACAATCAGTGAACAAAGCACACACAAATTCAGTGACTTACCCTGAGTGACACACACACACTGACTCAAGCAGACATACATTAACTCATGTAGACTGGCATACACACACATACACTGGTCCAAGCATACACTGGTCCAAGCATACACACACACACACACTGACTGATGCAGACTGATACACACACACACACACTGACACATGCATACACACACACAAACAGACACACACACAAAGACCCAAGCAGACATGCACACTTTACCCAAGCAGACACACACTGACCCAGACACACACACACCCAAGCAGATACACACACTGACCCAAGCAGACACACACACTGACCCAAGCAGACACACACACACACTCTGTTCTAGACACACACATTGACCCAAGCAGCCACACACACTAACCCAAGCACATACACACATACACACTGACACAAGCAGACACACACACTGACTCAAGCAGACACACACTGATCCAAGCATACACACACACACTGACTGAAACAGGCTGACACACACAGACACACACACACCATGAAGTCCCCCACTTGCCTCTATTTAATAAGGCCTGGCTGCCTTCATTCTCTTTAAACTCTGCCCCCGCTGTACTCCCAACCCACATGACCCCGAGTGCATGGGAAGGGGCGGAGTGACTATACGATGCGCCCGTGGGCTGCGGCATAAGAGGTGTGTAGGTGGGGCGGCTCTGTGATACTGGCTGTCTGAGGATGATGGCATCGGCGCTAGTCTGGAGCCATGTAAGTGCTCCCTAGCACCCTGTGCCATCAGCTGTGGCAGGCCATACACATAGGGGTGGCCCAAACCAGCAGTAAAGTTGCAGCTGGCGCCCCCCTTTAAGTAGTGCCCTAGGCAGCCGCCTAATCGGCCTATAGGACACGCCAGCCCTGAGTGCATCATCCATATAATTCAGGCATAAGCAACCTTCGGCACTCCAGATGTTTTGGACTACACCTCCCATGATGCTTTGTCAGTATTATGGGTGTACATGGGGGATGTAGTCCACAACATAGGGAGTGCCGAAGGTTGCCTATCCCTGATACAATGAATTTAAGATACCTATTAGACTAAAGCAATACAGGTTATAAATTAAAGATCGATCAATTTAAACAGTTCTTGATATGACTTTGAAATGATAAAACTCTCCTTTTCTCAAACTCACCTTGAGTGACTTCTTCGTCTTCATTTAAAACAATAATGCAAATGTGTTTTTTCAGCTGCCTAACATTGGAAAATGTTCTATTGCACTTCCGGCATTCCAAAATTTCAGGCTCTGGTTCTGACAGGACCTGAGCTCCTTCCACATGCAGCTTGTTTTCTACGGGTGCAACGCTTCCACTCTCCGATGTTTCTTCCTCAGAGATAGGCTTTTTTGTGGAACCTTTCGGTCTACCACGTTTTCTTTTTATCACATGCAATGCTAAGGTGGTAAAGAGCAGGAAAAAGATATACGTAAAAAGATTTAAAGAGACACAACTTCAACAAAAAAAAAATATTTATTTGCGGAGTGTGAAAAATAAATAAAATTAAGAAATCCACCCCTTTTTATCCTGCGAGTGGGTGCCTCCATCTTAGCTCCCTGGCAATCATTGTTATAAAACCCTGCCTTTACACCTTGCAGTCCCCATAGAGTTTTCCCTCTTTGCCCTGACTTTGCCTTGTCTGAACTGGATTATGGTGCCATTTGCTAACTCTTTCAGATAATTATAAAAAGAAATGGTGCATCTCTTGAAAACAATTTAAAAATCTAACTTGAATTTTACGTGATTTTCAATGTTTTATTCAATAGTGTAAATTCTAGTAGTATTGGTTCCGTTTTAATATCACATAGTGTTTTTGGCTAGCTTCTTGCATAATTAACCACAACCGTTTATTTAGAACATTTCAAACAATGTTTCAAATATTTTATGTGGAATGTATAAAGACTATGCCAATACTATACAATTGTTTTTCTTATTTAAAATCTGGTGAGATTTCCAGCCCCAGAGTAAAACTGCTAAAGATTTGCAAAGCAGGTATCGTAATGAGTAAATTATTTATATATTCTGTCCAGAACTGACAGCAAGGTAAGCTCCCTCTGCATGCATAATGGATCTACATGCAGCACTTATAATGGGGATTGTTCATTAATAATGTCCTTCTCTTGTGACATTTATCATTATGCTGTAAGATCTTTACTTATTTAATGAGAAAATATTCTGAACGATGATTGGAGCCAAGCTACTGTAGAATATATTATATTAATTACAGGGACAACCAGTACAAAACCAGCTTACGAGAAAATATGTTGGGGTTTATTTATTGCAGATTTAGAGAGGGAAAGTAACTTAATTATTTTTTGTTAAAGAAACAGTCAATCAAAATTATACTGTATTAAATGAGAATTTGAAAAATATGCACATAATAAATTGTCATTCAATTTGTGGAACCGTGATATGGACCAGGCCCGGACTGACCTTTGGCCACAACGGGCATATGCTTGGTGGGCCGTGATGGCCAGGGGCCGTGGTCAGCAGGGGAGGTCACAGGATCTCCCCGGCCGGTCAATGCAGGGCCAGCGCTATCCGAGCATCGGCCCTGTGGTATCCCATGATGGACCGGTGGGGAGATCTAAGATCTCTCTCACCGGCCCACTAGCATTGACATGCAGCCGCAGGTGGGGGAGCTCTATTTTGCAGCTCCACCGGGTTCCTCTCGCGAGGTCCTGCAGGCTAGAGTTCACTCACCACTAGGACCTCCAGGGTTTGCAGCACGGTCCCCCCTCCCAGGCATAAAGTAAGAAGGGAGTGCTTGCTTCTTTTTTTTATTTTTTATTAATATATATTGACAATAATCTGCCTCCCCCAACACACAATCCCTCCAAACATATTCACACACAATACCCCTAACACACACACACACACACACACCACCCTCACTCACACACACACACACACACACAGAGCACCCTCACTCACACACACACACAGAGCACCCTCACTCACACACAGCACCCTCACTGACACACACCGCACCTCACACACAGCAAACTCACATACACTGCACCCCTGACACTCACGGCACCCTCACTCACACACACACAGCACCCCTGACACATACACACCCCTCACACATACACACAGCACCCCCTTCCCACACTGCACCACTCACATACACAATACTTCCAAACATATATGTATATATACTACAGAACCCCTCACACACTCACTGCACCCCTCACACACTCACTGCACCCCTAAACACATGGCGTGACATGACGTGACAATTCGAGACACACAACTCTGGATCATCTACACACACACACACTCACACACTAGATCCCTATATACACTCTGAATCCTCTACACACATACACACACTCATTAGATCTCCTATACTCTGGGTCCTTTAAATACACACTAGATCCCCTACACACACACACACACACACTGCACCACCTACACACACACTACATTCCTGAAATACACACTCTGGGTCCCCTATGCACACACTAGATTCCTTATAAGCAAATACATACTACATTCCCTAAACACACACTCTCTACAACCCCTGCACACACTACATAACCTATGCACACACACGCTACAGCCTGTATGCACACACTTGCTACATCCCCTATACACACTATGCCCCCTATACACACTATGCCTAGTATACACACACTCTCTACAGCACTTAGACACACATATACTACATTACACCACAAACACAACATGACTGAAACCAACCTATTAACACAATACCACGCCACAATCAGCTCACTCTACACACAAGCAACCCCACAAGCAGGTCCAAACACATGCACAATACTCTTTCCGGGCATTTTTGTCTTCCATTTATGGAGACACCAGAGACAAGTTAAAAGCAAACACAGTGCAAGCATGTTATTACATTTGCTTGCACTGTGCAGAACAATTACATTAAGGGTTAATAAGCATGTAGGGGTGTATATAAAAAAAAAAAACATTCAGTCTCATTAGAGATGTTTTTGCCAGAGGCTCAAGGAAGCAAGCTGAATGGTTAGAGTTAAGACCCACCTAGGGGGGTCTGCCTTTATGTTGGCAGGTGGGCTTACCCTCTCATGGCCATTGGAGGTAACTAAAAACCTCCATTTGTTTAAAAATACATAAGGATTAAGGAGAGAGCGCAGGTAACTTGTTTTTCTTTGGTTTTTGCTATATAAATGCCGATAATAATAATAATAATACAGGGGGCGGGGGCCTGACTGCACTGCAGACGTGCTTACAGAGAGCTCCGGCACAAATGAGCTTAAACTCAGCTATAACTGACAAAAATCATGAAAATTGGAGCTCTGCACAACTGTGGCTCGTCGCTGAATCAAGTGGGAACTTGTGCATACCTGATTTGTGATTTTATATCAAGATATCCCACACCACATATATGCGGCCTAGAGCAGACGGAGGCCTAAAGGCCGGGGGAGACGGCTGATCTTCCGACCTTGGGACCTCTCTAAGCAACAACCCTCCTGCCACCCCGCATCCCCCCCCAGACCGGTGGGGGTTATCCCAGTTCCCACTGGGGAACTTCATATACCTGCAGTGAGGGTCTCCTGCCGGAACAAAGTAAGCAGGCTCAACCCAAGATGGCCGCCGAGTCACAACCTCCACAGTCTCAAGGGGAACCAGAGCTCCAGACATGGAAAGCCCGCTTTGAGATGCGGTTCGACCACATATGCCAAGAGTTCTGGGAGCGCCTGGAACACAGAGCCACCCTTTGTAACTCTCTGAGCACCCGAGGTAAAGACGAAGGGACAGCCTGTCGATCCGACGCTGGGTCGCAACCCAACATGGTGGCATGCCCACCCCGCCATCGGCCCCATCTTCAGACATCAAAACGTGCAACAGCTCGACCATACATAAACCCTGCCTCGCCATCTCACCCCTGCTTCCCTGGGCGACGCTCTGGAGGAAGGCGAGTCACCGCACACAAGCCGCTGTCTTGGATGGTGCGCTCCAGGCAACAACGATCACGAGCACGAAGAATGACCAGAGGCCCAGGCCAGTCTAGGGAACTCCACTGCCTGTATGCCGGCGGGAAGCAGGAACACGCAGGCACTTGTGGCTGGGGGCGACCCCATATACTGAAAGGAGGTCTCCGGTTCTCCAGTGATAACAGCTTGCACAGGTTCAGCCATGGCAAAGTTTGTTTACCAGGTTCCGGCTAAGGCAAAATGACGATCCGATGTGTCCATGCTGGAGTCCCATTAAGCCTGCCACAGAAGTTACAGCAGAGGGACTTTGCTCAACCCATGCAGGGAATAGGCTGAATGAAGCGTGGGGTCCAGGACTTAATCTCTGGTATCATACTTTATCAATCCCTCCCATACTAGTACCTATTGAGCACCTGCTTTATTTTCGTGATTTGGTGTTTTTAAATGCTGATCTGCATTTTGCAAATTGTTTTAGTGTTATGCAGGAATCGTAGCTTTACACTGCAACCAATTTGCCCCTTAACGCCTTTTCTCCCCACATACCCTCACACAGAGTCTGTTTATTGTACAAAATTCTGCTCACCTCCAGCAGTCATTTACTTATTTGTCTACTTACTCAACCATGCTACTTTGTACCCTTGTGTATAGCTTGTAACAAATCGTTTAATACAAAAAATGTGCAGTACTCTTGGGCCAAAATGTGAATCTTGATGGAAAATTATATGCGTGCTTTTGCAGGACATTACACTTCCCTGTTATTTTCATGCACAGAATAAATAAAGAATTTAAAATAATAATAATAATAATACACATTAACCCCTTAAGGACGGAGCCAAATGTACACATTGTGAACAAAACAAAATGTAAACAAAACCTGGCATTTGCGCTACATGTCTGTCCAACCGTAATACACCTCTTTCATAGTAAATGCACCCACCCTTATTATATATCATTTTATTCAGGGGAAACAGGGCTTCATTTAATATCAAATATTTAGCTATGAAACATAATTTAATATGAAAAAAATGGGAGAAAATACGTTTTTTTTGGATTTTTTTAGTTCTACATGACATTTTAACGGTCAATGTCATAATACTGTTTGCTTTTACTGCAATAAAATACACATATTTATATTCAGTAAAGTCTCACGTGTAAGACAGTACCCCCTATGTACAGGTTTTATGGCGTTTTGGGAAGTTACAGGGTCAAATATAGCACGTTACATTTGAAATTGAAATTTGCCAGATTGGTTACGTTGCCTTTGAGACTGTATAGTAGCCCGGGAATGAAATTTACACCCATAATGGCATACCATTTGCAATAGTAGACAACCAAAGGTATTGCAAATGGGGTATGTCCAGTCTTTTTTAGTAGCCATTTGGTCACAAACACTGGCCAAAGTTAGCGTTAGTATTTGTTTGTGTGAAAAATGCAAAAAATGCCAATTTTGGCCAGTGTTTGTGACTAAG